TAAATATAAAAATATATTTATTAAAATTTGATCTTATATTTTTAATAAGATAACTTTTCAATTCATAATACAAATAAAATAATTAATTTTTTTTATCATTATAAATTCTTGATTGATCTTCTTACTCATCAGATATTAATTCTATCAAGAATTTGTGAACTATAAAGAGAAAGATAAAAAAGAAGATAAATTTATAATTAATCAAAAAAATATTTAATAATAGAATTTTAAATAATAATATAAATAAAATAGATAGATTTAAAGATCTCTTTCTTTAATTAGCAAGAAGTATAAAGAATTATGTTTTGATAGTGAATGAATAAAAGTGAAAAAAATAACTATTAAATATTTGTAAATATAATCAATTACAAAAGTATTTGATTTCTTTTAACTTTCTATAAATTATATATAATACATTAAATTTTTTCAAGTATAAAAAATATTATAAATATTAATCATAATATCTTTTATAAATTGATAAAGCTTCTATATTGAATATTATATATTCATAAATTTTATGTTCAAATATAGTAAATTAGTTATATTAAGATATAATATCTTGATATTTAGTAATTTAATTTAAGTAAGAAATAATACTATATAATTTATCTAATTTAGTCAAATTAAATAATAATATTTTCACTTAAATTAGATTGCTAAATATTAAAATAAAGTGAATAATTCATATTTATTAATCAATTTTTCATTAGAAATTGATTATTAAAAAAATGAATTAGTTAATTTAGAATATAGTGTCTTAATTTTTAGTGATCTGATTCAAATAAAAATATTATTATTTGATTTCTCTAGTCAAGATAAATTGAATAGTATTATTTTATTCAAATTAGATTACTAGAAATCAAGATATTACATTCTAAATTAACCAATTCATTTTAATTAGTGTCAAAAAAAATGAATCTGCTACTTTAAGATACAATATTTTGATATTTAGTAATCTAATTTGAACAAAATAGGACTATTTATTTTATTTAGTTGAGACAAATCAAATAATATTATTTTTATTCAAATCAGATTATTGGATATCAAAAATTAGATTATTAGATATTGAGATGTGTGTTATGAAATAATTAATTATATTTGGAATCTGAAAATATATGAATATACAATATCTAATATAGAAGCTCTACCAATCTAATATCTTATATATTATAATAAATTTCAGATATTTATATTAACCACTGTATTTCACTTTATAAACAAATATTAATGAACTGGAAAAAGAGAAAACTTATCACATTTAAGAAGATTACCAGAAAAGGATTTACTTATATGTAAAGTAGCAAAAAATAATGTGCACCACTATGAAAAATTTAGGTCTCACTTGTAATTTATCAACCACTGCAAATTTATTGCACAACTCCAGACTTAACTCATGTATCACAGCAAAGAAATCCTATATCTCAGAAATGCATGCAAATGCTCATATTAAAAATACTGTGAAGAAAATAAAATTAAATCAGCTTATGATTGGTTGAAAATGATTTTCTCTGATGAAGTCAGTGTGGAAATTGGAAAGCAGTCACAGCAATCAAGAGTTTGGCGGCATCCTGGAGAAAAGTTTAATGTTAATTGTTTGGCGCCTACCTTTAAAAGTCTGTTGGTTTGGGGATGTTTCATGGGGAAATTAAAAGGACCATTAATTTTTTGTGATAAATATAAAAAAATAACTGCAAATACTTATCTCAAAATCTTAAAAACTCAATTACTTCCATTCCAGAACATAATTAGAAAATTAACTGGAAATTACGCAATCTTTCAACATGACAATGCATCGATACATACTGCGGCAAAAATTAAGGATTAGCTAACGGAAATAAAATCGTAATTATTAATTGGCCGGCGAATTCTCCAGACCTGAATCCAATAGAGAACATTTGGAAGATATTAAGAACAATATTCAAAAAAATGGGAACTTTCCAATGACTGTGGATGAACTTAAGATTACACTGAAGATAGGATGGGAAAAACTTGATGTGGCCATTTAGAACGGGTCGCTGCATCAATGCTATGAAGAATTAATGCAGTATTAGAATCAAATGGCCGATTAAAATATTAAATAAATTTAATTTTTATAATTTTTATTTACTTTCTATGGGTATTGACATGTATAACGATATCGCTTATCTCATTTGTTTTACTATTATTTCAATCAATTTGCTTTTTATAAAGCAAACTCAAAAATGAAATCAAATACTCATCATTGTAATGTTTCTGCTATCAAGTAGATAATTACTATTGCGATGAGTGTTTAGTTCACAATACTCATGATTATAGTAAATGTTACAATTATTAAACAAGATGATTTCTACTACGATGACTTTTTTTATATCACAATCGAATATATAACGGCGAATTGTCTAACGGAGATAGATATTAACAAAATTGTTAAAAGTGATAAATATATAAATTATTCGAATGGATTCCTTTTGAAAGATTATCGAATATCTTACAAAAAGCATGTTTTGGGACAATTTATAAAGCAAACTCGGTGGACGGATAAATTCCTAAATGTAATAAAAATAAATTAAACAGTTAGAGAAATTGAGTGTGTTGAATTCATTACACAATTCAAAGCAAATTACAAAGATAGTATGAATTATGAAAGAGAGTGATATCCTTAAACGTATATTAATTTCAACTACGAAAATTAGCTTAGAATCAAAATTTAATATATTTATTGATATTATCGACCATCTGGAATATATTCTGATTTTGGACTTAGCATTACAAATAATATAGAAAGGCCTAGGCAAGAAATTTGTGTAGTGTTTCCTTATATGAGTCACAAGGTATATGTAGTATATTGGAAACGTTACAGATATTGATAGTTTTTGCATGGTTATGTACGAGATTGTAATAGGTGACTAAACATTCTGTGAGAGAAGCTATGAAAATGATATTGTATTAATTATTTATAAAGGAGTATAACTGATAATATCAAATACTAACAAATTCGATATTGAAAATGGGATCTCGTTCCTGAAGACAGATCAACTGCTAAGAACTTTCTGACTTTATCTTTTCTATCTAATGTTTATTGTGAACCGAATACATGTACTTTACATTTTAGGGATATAGCTTTTTAGAATATCCTAAACCGGAAGAAGATATAAAGGATTTAGAAAACAGCTATATTGAAACTTGACGAGTAAATAGCTTGCAAAAAAGTATTCTCACGAATATAAATAAAAACATTAAATCCAATTTACATGAGTAAATGTTTACTTCGAAATTAATATCAATCCCAACTGATATAGGTCGCACATTTATTTTATATGGTGCGCGCACTCTAAAACCTAAACTCTCCGACGAGATCTGCAGGTGATCGACTTGTACACTCCCCTGACATGGGTCATGGGACTTTCTGAATTAAGTATGATAGCCATGACTATTAACATTCTTTCTAAGCGGTTTGCATGCAGATTACCACAAATAAAGTGGTACAAAAATTTTTTTCCCTTTTTTCAGAAGACTTCTTCTTCTTTTTATTGTGTAATCGAGACACTCCATCATCCTTTTCTTACTCGTGATGGATAAAAAACGAAGAGAACTTTCAGAAAAAGAATGCAGTGAGATCATTGGCACTTGGAAGTGCGGAGTGCCAATTCCTATCATCATAAATACCCTAAAATTCGAAAAATCTACTGTCTACAGGATTATTAATGCTTATAAAAAAACTGGTGAAATAAAACCACCTCCACGTCCTGGACCGAAGCCTAAACTAACTCAATGAGACACATGTCATCTTGTTCATTTATTAAAGACAGATCGAAAAGCTTCCTTAAATAATTTAACTAAAAAATTTATCGAGTCGACTTCTACCAATGTTTCCTCATGTACTATACAATGTTATCTGCATAAAGAAGGATTTTATGGTCGAGTTGGCAAAGTTTGGAATGATCTTAAGAAAGAATTAATTGGAAGCAGGAATGGAAATTCATCATATAGAGTGATGAATCATGGTTTGAAGTATTTGGGGGAGACGGTCGTGATTATGTTTAGAGAAAACCTGAAGAGAAATACGATGCTAACTGTTTAGTTCCAACCTTTAAATCAGGTCACAAGGGGGGTCATGGTCTGGGGATGTTTTAGTTCATTTGGATTGGGTCCTCTAGTTCGAGTTAACGGTAGGCAAACTGCAAATGACTATATCAATGTTTTAAATAACCATTTGTTACCTTATTTAGGAGGGTTGGATAATCAAAATAATTATGTATTTCAAGATGACAACGCTCAAATTCATCGAGCAAAGGTCAACTTTGCGTTGGATTTCGGATAATAATATTGATTAACTTCCCTGGCCCACGCAAAGCCCAGACCTCAACCCTATCGAGAATATTTGGGATGAATTAGAACGTCGTATTCATAAGCGCATTCCTCTACCAAAAAACGTTCAATCTGTTACAGGAGGAATGGTCTAACATAGATGAATCAGTTTATGGAAATTTGGTTGAAAGTATGGAGCGCCGTGTTCAAGCTGTAGTTAAAGCTAACGGGCATCCTACACCTTATTGATAAAGTCAAATAAACTTCATTGATGTAACATTTCGATAAAAAAAACCTGACGTAAATTGCTATGTAGATTGTTGAGAATTTCGAACTTGAAATTTTATGAAAAAATCGAGCATTACTATATTCGGAAAAAAGTCCCATGACCCGTGTCAGGGGAGTGTACATGTACTAGATAGACATAGTTCAAAAAAAAGTTTTAAAACGACTACATGTACATAAAAAAATAATAACAACCATCAATAATAACCTTTATCCTAATTATTAATAATAGAACTTTATTCAATTTCATTTTTTTTATAACGTTAATAAAATTATTCTTTGAATCATCCGATCCACAGTAATACTTATTTTGTTTATTACAATGTTTGGAGCGTTAACAATATTTGGCACACTGTTTAGTACATCCTTTGATACATTATTTGGTACATGCTTTGGTCTCTTAACGATTTTCGTTCCTGATCATTAAGTCAAAAATGATGTGAGTTAATATTGAACAGTTGTCCAGGTATTCCATATAAACCAAAAGCTATTTCCAGGAATGAAGACTTTGGCGCATACCCAACCTTTGTCAAGAGCTGATGTGTATCAAGTAAATATTGATGCTTTTGAACAGCTTTCACATATGCTTTCACATGTGATCCTTGTTCATCTGAGAGTGTAACGTCCCAAAGAAGATAAGCGCCAACTTGGAAATCAATCTGAATACTAAAAGATTTATCGTCAATAATCGCTTCAGGAAATGAAGGATGCACAGGATGGTTATATTGAGAGGTGGTTTGCGCTTATTTATCAACTTTATCATAGTATTAATCGAGAAGTTGGAGAGGTTTCGCAAATTTTGTCATCTTTATGTCAAACAAGGGGATGGACTGAAGTAAGCGGATCAATTATAACAATATTCGAAAGCACAGCACCGGAAACAGAAAACTAATGCCCTAAAATGCAATATAAGATATTTGAAATTTTGATAAAATATCTTAAGCTGAATTTATGACTATACTGCAATTACAACTAAAAAGCACGGAAAAAGAAGGCATTATCTTTCTTGCTCCTTGCAAAAAGCTATATAATGTCCAAAATTTTCATAGTGAGGACAGGTATTAGAGCTAGATTTACAAAGCTCATAATACGCAAAGGAACCAGAAAAACATACAGTTCCATAAGTACTGTAATTGCCACGGAACAGAGTTGGTAGCACAGGGCGTTGAAGTTATTCGGATAACATTTATTTGCAACCGCCTGAAGTCTTCTTTACTATTATAATATTTTGCCATTTCGCAACAATACATGTAGGTGAATTGTTTATCTTCCATTTCTGGTTCCTCCTCATAGAAATCGTTAATCCTGCCAAATATTGAGCAATACAAGCTAGCAGGTATGGTGCTATTGGCACTTAATGGACGGTTATTAAGACAAAAATATTATTTTTTTGTTTCCTGAACCATTCCTCAGGTTTTCCAAGTGTCGAGGGTCCAGGTAAAGTACTTAGCATTTTTCATATATGATCAATATCTGTAGAACGAGACTGCATTAGCTCAGATCAACCTATAATTGAAATCTACCTTTCTTTATATCAGAGATTCTGATTGGATTTTCTTAATGAAATCGTTTAATTCCTTTTTTGGCCAGCTAAATTTTATGTCCTTATTTCCAATAACAAACATATAATCTATTAAAATGCCTTTAAGATCGAAAAATACTTTCAAACGAACATATAAATTAACCCAATTTTCCCAATCTTCGGTGCTAAGATTTATGGTCTTTGGATCAAGATATTGGAAATATAAAGGAGATAAAAATAAAAACAGTATATTAGTTAATGTAAACGATATAAAAAACGTTCTCAATTAAAAAGCGAGAAATAAGATATTCGTGATACTTAACCTTCCTCTCTAGCCTGTGATATTGCTAGTTTTTCCTCCAATTCTTGTATTCGATTTAATACATTCATTTCTGTATAATAAGGCACAAGTTAATAAACGAAGTATTGCGGAGGAAACAGTATAGGTTTAGAATATTAGAATGCACATACTTTGCTCTTCGCTCCTAATTCCTTTGACCAACTCTCTGCTATTGCTTTCGCTGGTCCTAGTAGCAAACCATATTTCTGAAGTTCTTCTTTGTTTAAGTCGAGGAAAACGTAACCGACAACTTTAAATTTTTTGAACATATCGATGTCGTCTCGTCAAGGTCCAACTTATTTTTATTTTTCTGTAATAAATCAGTAACGTCAGCTCACTTATTTAATTTTGAATAAAAGTAATATAATCTTTTTACATGTATGTTTATACATGCAGATTGTTGTACAACAGATCACGCATGAATTTTTTCTACGTAATCGCATGTTTACATGTATGTATATGAGGTATATGATGATTTTGTGATGTATTATTTAATTACTGCGTAAAAGAAAGTTTATTAATCTAACCTCACAAATGAATTTGATCTCTTCCAAAATTGCGCTTAAACCCTTTCTACATCGCTATGTTTGAAATAATAAGGATTCGTATAACGACCTTTATTACTATCTGTTGTTGCGGTTGCATTTGGATATTAATCATTAAAATTTTAGCATCATTGCTTCGAACCTTATTCAGGACGAAACCCAACAATATTGAAAATCTTCCACACTGGTGTGTTTTGTTATTTAAACGTTACTAATATATAATAATAACAATTTTTTCTATATTTAAGGCTGCCTGATCCAAGTTTCTTTTAGCGGATAATCTGCAAATAATCTGTTAAAATTGTCTGATGAAGGTCCTGAATATATTTCTGACATGGTCACTGATGACGTCCTTGTATCTTACGACCGTGACAACATGATAATCTTTGTTGAAATATTCGGTGTTCAAGGAGAGCCACATTTTATCATTAACCCCATCTATAGTGAGGATTCTGATATTTGAGGGTTGATTTCGTTGATTCTCCATCCATGGTCACATTCAAGAAAACCGAGGTGGAGGATATTGAAATGGGAATGGATAATGCTGGAAAGATTGCTAGTTTATTGTTCTATAGTGCTAAAAATAGAATATTGACGACGTTGTCAGATGAAGGGAGTGCAAAACGTAATGATGAGGCGATGGTTAGAGTTAAAGCTCCGTTCGGGTCGGGTCGGTATCGATAATTAAATATTATTATTTAGGAATATATAACTATTGTAGAATCTAAATAAATATTTGATATATTTAAATCAATCTAAAATTTCATTTTGATTGAATATAAAAATAGGTGTGCATACCTGTAGCAGTTTTGGGATTGATATTAATTTCGAAGTAAAGATTCGACTGATGACACTGTAGATAGACTTGATAAAGTTTTCAAGTTCCTTAGCAGTTGGTCTGTTCTCTTGAATAGGATCCCGAAATATTTCAACAGTAAACACCATCCAGGAATATTATTTGGTATTGTAGGTTGTACCCCTTTATAGATATCCATTCACCAAAATGGTCTTTCACCAGTTACAATCTCGTATGCAACCATTCCAAAGCTATACCTGCAGCGTTAGTGTATGGCTTTTCACTTAATATCTCTGGACTCATACAAGGAAGTACTCCACAAATTCCTTGTTTAGATTTTTCTATATCTATTGGGCGAGTAAGTCCAAAATCAGCAATAACAGGAACATTTTGAGGAACATATCTACTATTTTCACATGCTGTATATCTCCTCCATGCATTAATAATATTTTTCTGGGATGAAAGTCAAAATATACAAACTTTTTACATGAATTTCTGTTAGATTTCTGGTTAAATTAAATAAATAGCTAAATTTACCATGCCAAATTAAATTATATATTTACAAAGATAATCGTTTTTTGTTGATACGTGTACTGCATTTAAGAGGAGGATTTCTTCGTTTTATCATTTACTGTAGTCATATGTTATATCACAAACTGTAGTCATATGTTATATCACAATTTTTCTCACGCGCATGAAAAATAATATAGATTGCGTATTGATCTACGTGTATATGTCATACGTCTACAGGTTTAAACAGGTTTATAGGAGTTGGGGAGGACTTCTTTACTACTGTGGGCAAAGGTGTATTTTTATTACAAAGCATCATTGGAGGGAAGGGGATTACACGTCTAACAAAGAAGCTTATTTAACTATTTTTAAGGATTACGGAATTCACAGTATCACAGAGTGTGTATGATCGAATCGAAGTCTCTTTACGGCTAGACTATTCTACAAAGGTAATCTAAAAGCAAAAACCGAAGTTCAATAATAGAAGCAAGGCTCAAGAGAAGATAAAAAACAAAAATATAAATAATAATTAATTATTAATACCGTAAAACGTGGCCTCAAGTACCCCTCTGACAATAGTACCTTCCATAGTCTTTTGAGCCCTGTTTTTTGTATAAGATCCGGGTATTATGACAGTTTTTGATCCGCATTTTTTGTAAAAAATCCGGGGTACTATACATAGACATCATACAAATGTGGCTTTGAAAAATGTCATGATGTGTTATTTTGAATAGAAATAGACTACGAGTACATATATATTTCATTTTATTCTCGGTTTGTTTCAAAATTCCGTTTTATACCGTTATCTATATATCAGAATTTCTCCTGGTCCCTGGTTATGAATACAACATATACTTGTACCCCTTGGTCCATAGTATCCCCTTATGTAAAATATCCACCCTGATGCGAGAAATATGTATTGTACCACGGGTACATAAGACCACGTTTTACGGTTAATACAAGAGGAGTGTTCGAAATATGTATTAGTGCTATTTTGGTATTATTTTTCTTTCGAACTGTCTAGGTGCCACAAGCCGATCACCTGCAGGTCACGTCGGAAATATTAGACTTTCGATTGTAATTAAATAAATTCTAATGTTGATGGTAACAGTAATTAATGTCCCGAATAATGCAATTTTTTTATTTAATTATTATAGAGGTGATGTGACTCGGAAAATGAAGTTGCTCGCTAAACAGAGGAAAGGAAAGAAAAAGAAGAAATGAAGATGATTGGTTAATAATTTCAACTATATGTATTATTAATGATAATGATGCTGGCGTCAGCGAAGTAATTTATGATTTTTGTTTTACAACTGGAAATGTTAAAATTCTAAAGAAAGCATTTTATTGGTTCTTCGAAATAAAATACTTATGCGTTTTAGATTTTTTTTAATTAGAAAATAAATCTTTTATTTGTCAATTTATTATAACGAACAAAGTATGAATGAAATTCAGGTCTTAACGTTGGGTAAGATTATTTCATGGACATCTACATGTATAATAAAAAGGATAATCAAAGTTCATATTCGCTATTTGAACCATTTTTATATTGGGATCACTTACACCAATATCGTTATATATTTGCGATTTTTTTTGTAATTTATAGCAGGATTTTGAATCATCGTATTACATGTTGCAACAATTGAATCTTTTATATATTAGATATCGAAAACGAGATTAAAGAAATTAGAAAATATTCTTCCTTACTTTTGACATAATATACAGTTGAACCTCGATATAACGAGTACATAGTAATTCGTGATAAAACGAACTTATTTTCGTTGAAACAACAAAATTATTAGTAACCTTAATATAACGAATTTTGAAAAATTTGGACTGACAGTTTGACCTCTTCGTTACAGTTCTCGTCATATATAACGAGAATCGTTTTTTAGTCATAAATTCCGTGAACCTTGCAGATATGTAGATATAATGATTATGCATGATTAATACATATATGTATGTATTTATATATTAATAATGCCTTTCTTTCCTGTTGTTTTTATAATTTAATTTAAATCTTCAAATTTTCAAAGAATACAAATGTGCTTTTAAAATCATAATAAGACAAAGTTTTTTATTAAGTAAATCAATTTGGATCTCATAAGTAAAGTGTTCAGAATATTAATACATATTTTTCCTGGAATTTTTATGTGAATTGAATTCAAAACAAAATAAAAATGATATTTTTTTTCAAAGTTGGACATTAAAGCTCATTAACGGTTGTTTATTCATTTTTTAGTGAGAAAAAAATCACAATTTAATTCTTTCAAAGATTTATTTATCTAGTACACTGATACAAACCATTCTAAAATTTTGGTTTTATATAGTGGATGCAGTATGTTTTTATATTAAACATGTGCATATAAGTAAATATATATTTCAAATTTTAATAAAATCAGATCAATGGTTGAAAAAAATAAGTATTAAGTTAAAAAAAAAACAAATATATATTATATAAAGTTTGCAAAAGATTACTGTATATCACAGATAAAAAAATTAAAAAAGAGAATTGAAAAGTTTTCAATAATTATATACATTTTTATATAAATATTTAAAAATTATATATTAAAAATATTCTTAAATATTATAAAACCACATAGGAAGAATTTGAAATAATAAACTAATTCAATATAAAGATGGAATGAAAAATTTAAAAACAAATAAAGAAATAAATATTTAATTATACAAAAAATTCTGTGAAAAAGTAAAAACTGAGCGTACAAATGCTTATTTTTATCATTGCATGAAGTACCATGAAAATGCATTACGCATAACGAGGAGGCTATTCAACGATAATCCCGTTCATTTTTAAATTATTATTTTGGCATGTTACATGTATATGTACAATTTTGTCAATCTATAGTGCATGTACAGAAAGTATCGCCCGATTTTACGTGTGTAACCATTTTTTAAAAATACATTTATATAATAATAATAATAAACATCACTTTATTTATCTTTTGCCACTTCGTCAACACTATAATTTCGTTAGGTTAAAAAATGGTGTCCAC